CAGCGGATCGAACAACCGTGAGATATTAGAAATGACTTTCCTTTTTGTAATGGGTGTGTCTAGTTCTGGCAACTGTACTGTATACTCGAACTCATCTGTAGTACTATTCCACGTCAAACCTAAAACTTTCTTCACTTCATTTTCTTCCTTTCCTGTTCCTATTTCTAACCTATTACTATTTTTATTTACTAAGCCTTGTGCTTCTTGTAAAAACTCTTTACTACTCGAACCCCATTTCTGTAATTTAAAACCACCTTTTTCCATCAATTCATTAATTTGTTTATATATTTTCAGTCCCTCTTCTTTCGTCTGGCAGCCCGTCATCAAATCGTCGATGTAATAGTCTTTTAACACTATTTCAGCAGCTTCCGGATACGCTTCACCCTCATCGTAAGCCAGTTGATGTAGAGTCCTGACTGCAAGATAAGGAGCACTAGCTGTACCAAAGGTAAGTCGCTGTAGTCTGTAGTGCTGTATGTGATGTCCATCACACCACAATATTCGTTGAAAATCTGCATCTTCTTTTGTCACCTTGACTTGGCGATACATTTTAACTAAGTCTGCATTAAGAGCAATAGGATGACGTCGCCAGCGCATGATAATATGCCTCAGATCCAGCTGTAAAGTGGGACCTACCAACAAATCATTATTAAGGGATACGCCGTTGAGACCAGGAGAGGAAGCATTGAATACAACTCGAACTTGAGATGTAGTTCTATCTTTTCGCACAACAGCATGATGAGGTAAGTATACTGCTCCATGTAATGGTTTTTCTTTTTCAGGAACTACTTCCATGTGACCCAGCGTGAGATACTCGGTGATAACTTGTGAGTATTGTTCTTTTAGTTCAAGATTTTTTGCTAACCTTTTTTCCAGGTACTGGAGTTTCCTCGCTGCAACAACCTGTGAGTTGCCATACTTACATAAAGGATCAGAGGAGCGGAATGGAAGCTTAACTATATACCGACCAGAGTCATCTCTAGTAGTAGTTTCCGCAAAAATCCTTTCGCATTCTTGCTCTTCTTGAGTAAGAATCTTTTTACCAACCATTGGAGGCTCCGATTCCAATTCCCAAAACTTTTTAAGTAAATCATCGTTATCAGCGATAGAATACATGGCGATGACCTTGTCTTCGCTTGACGACTGGAGGCTGCCCACAGGTTTTGTAGAAACCTGGCCAGATAGGATCCATCCAAGCTTTGTATTTTGTGCTACAGGTGTGCCTGGAGGACCCTTGATTAAGCCTTCAACTAAAATCTGGCTGAATATATCAGCTCCCAGAAGCAAGTCAATTTTATTGGGAATGTGAAACTCAGGATCTGCTAATTGTACCCTTATTAATTGTGGATATATGTCAAAATTAACTCTTAGTTGGTAATATTGATGTTAATTTGTTCAATACATGAGCCCTGACGACTACAACATAATTGAGATCATGTATTGATTGAAGTTTGAAGCAAACTGATGACTTCGACACTACAGAGTCGCTGTTATCCCCAACACCCGAAATAACGGTTTTCGCTGGTAACTTTTGAAGACCAAGCGATTGCACAGCGGCCTCTGTAATAAACAGGCTTGAGATCCTTGATCAATCAAGGATCTGAGAGTACAGTGATTTCCTGACTTTGACTGTACTTTAACTAAGGCAGTAGCCAAGAGTACTGGGCTTTGAGCATTTGAGTAACATGCTACTACCTGATCAACATCCTCGGTAACATCAGTGCTACCTGACGAGGAAGTAGTGGCTACGACTATGGCTCTCTTGTCAACGGATGAATCATCGACATTGTTTTCCGTTGATTTTGGAACATTGAGGTGCAATAATGAATGGTGTTTCTTCTTACATACGCGGCATCTAGAGGCTTGACGGCACACAAACACAGAGTGATTCGGACCCATACAATTGAAGCACAAGTTATTGGTCTGAATAAAATTACGACGTGCTTCAACACTTTCATTAGCAAACCTTTTGCAGTTGCCTATTTTGTGACTTTCTGAACAAAATACACAAGAAATTGCTGTGGCATGGTGAACTTTAGTATTCATAGCATTACTTTTATGACGAACGACATTTGGCTTTGGAGTTTTCGGTAAAAATTCTAAGGAACGAAATCTATTCTCTAAAAATTCTTTGAATTGATGCATTGATGGGAGATCATCAAATGAGCTTATTTGAGTTTCCCATAGTTTGCGAGACTCTGTATCTAGTTTTGAACTAATAATAAAAATTACAATTGCATCCCATGAATTAGTACCAAGACCTAAATTTTTTAACCCGTTTAAACAGTCAACAGTTGTATCTAATAAGGACTTGATAGCTCCTGAGGATTCTACTGTAATGCTAGATTGACCAATGAGATGCTTTAGTAAACAGTTGGAAAGAAACTTTTTATTACTGTACCTTTTATTCAGCAGTGACCAAGACTCTTCGTAATTTGCCTCAGTGACTGGTATTTGTCGTAATAACTGTTCTGCTTCTCCAGTCAAATGAGCTTTTAAATAATGCAACTTATGAACATTTGGCAAACTACTATTATTGTGGACAAGTGATAAGAACAAATCTTTAAAAGTTGTCCACTCTATGTATTTACCGCTAAAAGTTGGAATTGTAATTTTCGGTAACTTTACATTAAAGTTAGACCCGGAGTTTGTTGAAAACTGAGGAAGTAACAAGTCGGATTCTAAACCAGTAACAGATGATTTTTTAATCTTAAGTAATGCGTCTTTCAACTCTGCCTTATAATCGTAATACAATTCTTCGGTCGTTTCGTACATGTTATTTTCACAATAGACAGATGCTTGAAACTCTGCGGTGTCTACATCAGAAAGAATTTGTAGGTGGTTGTCTTCAAAAGATTTCCATTGAACTTCTAAGTTCTCCAACCTCGCCTCAATATAACTTTGAGTAAGACGTGCTTTGGGTGACTTTTTAAAATTGTCTTTACCATTACTAATAACTGACTTTACATGTTCTTGTCTTTTATATAATTTCTCCATGTTCGTTTCTAAATAACTTCGACTAAAATTAAATCAATTAACGAACGAGCACACCACAATAATTATTGTATATGAAGAAAATAGAATATAATCTAACTCAATAACAAAATTACAACATGAAAATTTTCAAAGTGAATGACAACTTGACAATCACAAAAATAACCAAAATATTCTAAGTCCAAAGAGAATTTATTACAATTTTTCTAAGTGTTTTGCAATTTTGACACTTGGGGAAAATCGGGCATAGGTTCCCCGTCTAAACAGATTTCAGCCTAAAATTTTACAAGTCCAAACCACACTACTACTAAATTAATCCTAATAAACTTAAAGTCTTCTACTCTTGCAAGTTATTTCTCCTATGTAAATAAAGTTCAAATTCACTCACTCACTGATTGTTCCGCATGCCATACCATATGTGTTTCGTGTTCAACTCTCCAAAAATATTTCCAAAACTGCAGCGCCCTCTATTGTCAAGGTTTGTTTGTATTACAGCTTCAACTTCGACTCGAACCCTTTGGAATTACTCCACAGCAGCAGCAGTAAAACATAACACGGCAATAGACAATAAATTCCTCAACTCAACCTGAAAAACTTTTTTGTATGGCGCGCTGAACACGTTGCCTCTAGGTGAACCTTAATCCGGCATACCGTAGGACCAATGTTTAGTGTCCCAAAAAGGAGGTGGAACTAACTAAATAATTAAACACCTGTTCCAATTTTAAATAGCGAGAGAGCGTTTATTGCTTTTACATAACATACTTATATTTCAAACAAAACCAAATGGTAACGTGATTCAGTGAACCGATCCTGCCATCTATCGTACAAAAAGTAAAGTAATTCTAAACAAGTATGAAAATTGAAAGCCAGCGACGAACAAGTACGACCAGTGACTGACAGGAGTGACGTCATCGGAACCATAGGTCCGTTTTCGCGCGAAAATTTAAACTGTCAATTTAAAACCGCATTTTTTCCGATAAATTACAATGTTTTAATTTTTTAATATATCTGTGGTTTATTCTACATGGAATTCTTTAAAATGAAAACAAAAATAAAAATATTGCATCTTCCCTATTGAAGGATTGGTGAAGAGCCCTTTTATAAAATTGCGCCGCTGCTGTTTAGGTAAATACGGCCATCAGTCTGTGAAAGTCGCACGAGCGAGACATCGACGCAGCCATGTTCAGTATAGTGCGCTTTACCAAATTAATACTTTAATATGCAATTAGTGGATTATACTATAAGTGCAAATATAAAAGAAATTTAATTTGAGGAGCTAAGATGGATCCCTACTGTAGAGTTGGAGTATGTATGTGCTTCAGATTGGCATCTACGCCAATCCATCTTTGCGTCTCTCCGTTTCAACCTGTGCGGAACGAATAAACAGGCTGTTACAGATTCGTAGATTTCGTGGTACCGCGCGGTTATATGGACGATAATAGCTGATTGTTTTGATATCAAACCGTTTGATTATATGAACTTAGCTTTAATGATAATGATTAAAATTGAATGTGTAGTCGGTTAACGAGTGGGAGATCTATTTTTGAATCACTCGCCTTGTGTCCAACGCTCGATTATACTAATTTTGATTCGATATAATAAATTCCGTATTTTTGAATCGCTGGCGAATGGTAGAATAGTTGTCTAATTTATGTCTGATATTTCAAGTTCTTTTTTTCAATCTTTTTAAAATAAAGAAAACATGATGACGATGTTGCGACGTTTTGATCTTTTCTAACAAAAAAAGGAAAAAGATTAAATAACCATTTATTGAGAATTATACGTTCATTTTTCACAGCGGTAATGACTGCTTTTTATCTTTTTTCGTGAAATTAATACAAATAAATATTTTGTATTAAATTAAACCGGTAACACTGTCGATGAACCATCCAAAAATACGGAAAATCACTATCATGCGACTCGGAAGTCGAAAGTGACTCAAGTCGCATTCGGCGATACCGTGTCAGGCGAGCGAATCAATAATAGAGCTCTGGGTCTGTGGCTAGGACGCGACGCGTTCGTGCCTGTCGGCGCGCGCGGAGTGCAGCGGCGGGCTGCGCCTGGCGACGGCGCTGTGGTCGTGCGCGTGCGCCGGGCCCCGCGCGCCCCGCGCCCTCGCCGCCGCCGCGCTAGCGCGACACCACTACCCGCGCGCGCCCTGGCCGCTGTGGGCCGCGGCCGCGCTGCAGCTGCGCGCGCGCCGCCCCGAGGTGAGTGTGTGTAGTGTAGTGTAGTGTAGTGTAGTGTAGTGTAGTGTAGTGTAGTGTAGCGGCGGGCTGCGGCCGGGGACGGCGCTGTGGTCGTGCGCGTGCGCCGGGCCCCGCGCGCCCCGCGCCCTCGCCGCCGCCGCGCTAGCGCGACACCACTACCCGCGCGCGCCCTGGCCGCTGTGGGCCGCGGCCGCGCTGCAGCTGCGCGCGCGCCGCCCCGAGGTGAGTGTGTGTAGTGTAGTGTAGTGTAGTGTAGTGTAGTGTAGTGTAGTGTAGTGTAGCGGCGGGCTGCGGCCGGGGACGGCGCTGTGGTCGTGCGCGTGCGCCGGGCCCCGCGCGCCCCGCGCCCTCGCCGCCGCCGCGCTAGCGCGACACCACTACCCGCGCGCGCCCTGGCCGCTGTGGGCCGCGGCCGCGCTGCAGCTGCGCGCGCGCCGCCCCGAGGTGAGTGTGTGTAGTGTAGTGTAGTGTAGTGTAGTGTAGTGTAGTGTAGCGGCGGGCTGCGGCCGGGGACGGCGCTGTGGTCGTGCGCGTGCGCCGGGCCCCGCGCGCCCCGCGCCCTCGCCGCCGCCGCGCTAGCGCGACACCACTACCCGCGCGCGCCCTGGCCGCTGTGGGCCGCGGCCGCGCTGCAGCTGCGCGCGCGCCGCCCCGAGGTGAGTGTGTGTAGTGTAGTGTAGTGTAGTGTAGTGTAGTGTAGTGTAGCGGCGGGCTGCGGCCGGGGACGGCGCTGTGGTCGTGCGCGTGCGCCGGGCCCCGCGCGCCCCGCGCCCTCGCCGCCGCCGCGCTAGCGCGACACCACTACCCGCGCGCGCCCTGGCCGCTGTGGGCCGCGGCCGCGCTGCAGCTGCGCGCGCGCCGCCCCGAGGTGAGTGTGTGTAGTGTAGTGTAGTGTAGTGTAGTGTAGTGTAGTGTAGTGTAGCGGCGGGCTGCGGCCGGGGACGGCGCTGTGGTCGTGCGCGTGCGCCGGGCCCCGCGCGCCCCGCGCCCTCGCCGCCGCCGCGCTAGCGCGACACCACTACCCGCGCGCGCCCTGGCCGCTGTGGGCCGCGGCCGCGCTGCAGCTGCGCGCGCGCCGCCCCGAGGTGAGTGTGTGTAGTGTAGTGTAGTGTAGTGTAGTGTAGTGTAGTGTAGCGGCGGGCTGCGGCCGGGGACGGCGCTGTGGTCGTGCGCGTGCGCCGGGCCCCGCGCGCCCCGCGCCCTCGCCGCCGCCGCGCTAGCGCGACACCACTACCCGCGCGCGCCCTGGCCGCTGTGGGCCGCGGCCGCGCTGCAGCTGCGCGCGCGCCGCCCCGAGGTGAGTGTGTGTAGTGTAGTGTAGTGTAGTGTAGTGTAGTGTAGTGTAGTGTAGCGGCGGGCTGCGGCCGGGGACGGCGCTGTGGTCGTGCGCGTGCGCCGGGCCCCGCGCGCCCCGCGCCCTCGCCGCCGCCGCGCTAGCGCGACACCACTACCCGCGCGCGCCCTGGCCGCTGTGGGCCGCGGCCGCGCTGCAGCTGCGCGCGCGCCGCCCCGAGGTGAGTGTGTGTAGTGTAGTGTAGTGTAGTGTAGTGTAGTGTAGTGTAGCGGCGGGCTGCGGCCGGGGACGGCGCTGTGGTCGTGCGCGTGCGCCGGGCCCCGCGCGCCCCGCGCCCTCGCCGCCGCCGCGCTAGCGCGACACCACTACCCGCGCGCGCCCTGGCCGCTGTGGGCCGCGGCCGCGCTGCAGCTGCGCGCGCGCCGCCCCGAGGTGAGTGTGTGTAGTGTAGTGTAGTGTAGTGTAGTGTAGTGTAGTGTAGTGTAGTGTAGCGGCGGGCTGCGGCCGGGGACGGCGCTGTGGTCGTGCGCGTGCGCCGGGCCCCGCGCGCCCCGCGCCCTCGCCGCCGCCGCGCTAGCGCGACACCACTACCCGCGCGCGCCCTGGCCGCTGTGGGCCGCGGCCGCGCTGCAGCTGCGCGCGCGCCGCCCCGAGGTGAGTGTGTGTAGTGTAGTGTAGTGTAGTGTAGTGTAGTGTAGTGTAGCGGCGGGCTGCGGCCGGGGACGGCGCTGTGGTCGTGCGCGTGCGCCGGGCCCCGCGCGCCCCGCGCCCTCGCCGCCGCCGCGCTAGCGCGACACCACTACCCGCGCGCGCCCTGGCCGCTGTGGGCCGCGGCCGCGCTGCAGCTGCGCGCGCGCCGCCCCGAGGTGAGTGTGTGTAGTGTAGTGTAGTGTAGTGTAGTGTAGTGTAGTGTAGTGTAGTGTAGTGTAGCGGCGGGCTGCGGCCGGGGACGGCGCTGTGGTCGTGCGCGTGCGCCGGGCCCCGCGCGCCCCGCGCCCTCGCCGCCGCCGCGCTAGCGCGACACCACTACCCGCGCGCGCCCTGGCCGCTGTGGGCCGCGGCCGCGCTGCAGCTGCGCGCGCGCCGCCCCGAGGTGAGTGTGTGTAGTGTAGTGTAGTGTAGTGTAGTGTAGTGTAGTGTAGTGTAGTGTAGTGTAGTGTAGTGTAGCGGCGGGCTGCGGCCGGGGACGGCGCTGTGGTCGTGCGCGTGCGCCGGGCCCCGCGCGCCCCGCGCCCTCGCCGCCGCCGCGCTAGCGCGACACCACTACCCGCGCGCGCCCTGGCCGCTGTGGGCCGCGGCCGCGCTGCAGCTGCGCGCGCGCCGCCCCGAGGTGAGTGTGTGTAGTGTAGTGTAGTGTAGTGTAGTGTAGCGGCGGGCTGCGGCCGGGGACGGCGCTGTGGTCGTGCGCGTGCGCCGGGCCCCGCGCGCCCCGCGCCCTCGCCGCCGCCGCGCTAGCGCGACACCACTACCCGCGCGCGCCCTGGCCGCTGTGGGCCGCGGCCGCGCTGCAGCTGCGCGCGCGCCGCCCCGAGGTGAGTGTGTGTAGTGTAGTGTAGTGTAGTGTAGTGTAGTGTAGTGTAGTGTAGTGTAGCGGCGGGCTGCGGCCGGGGACGGCGCTGTGGTCGTGCGCGTGCGCCGGGCCCCGCGCGCCCCGCGCCCTCGCCGCCGCCGCGCTAGCGCGACACCACTACCCGCGCGCGCCCTGGCCGCTGTGGGCCGCGGCCGCGCTGCAGCTGCGCGCGCGCCGCCCCGAGGTGAGTGTGTGTAGTGTAGTGTAGTGTAGTGTAGTGTAGTGTAGTGTAGCGGCGGGCTGCGGCCGGGGACGGCGCTGTGGTCGTGCGCGTGCGCCGGGCCCCGCGCGCCCCGCGCCCTCGCCGCCGCCGCGCTAGCGCGACACCACTACCCGCGCGCGCCCTGGCCGCTGTGGGCCTCTAGTCTATATAAGATAAAACAATTCAAATAAAGTATAAATTATATAAAAGAGAAAACAACGTTCGTAGCGGTATGGAAAATTCGCAGTTGACTGTTATGGTCCTAATAGACTTCTCCAACGCATTCAATATGGTCAACTACGATATTCTCCTCGCAATTCTTTCACAAACAGGAGTTTCTTCTTCAGTAGGGACCTGGTTTTCATCTTATCTTCGTGGACGCCAGCAGGCTGTACGGGTAGACCAAACCATCTCGGACTGGTGCGCTCTCACTGCTGGTGTTCCACAGGGCGGTATTCTCTCTCCTCTTCTTTTTTCTTTATTTATAAATTTCCTTACTACTATGATTCATTCCTCTTACCATCTATATGCTGACGATCTCCAACTTTATGTTCATGCAGATAAAAATAGTTTAGATGAGGCCCTCATATGCCTGAATAATGACCTTCAGAGGATTTCGGAATGGTCCAACTGTTATGGTATCTCTGTTAATCCATCAAAATGTCAAGCAATTATAAAAGGTGGTTCCCGGCAGTTGGCCCTTCTGGATGTAGGTTCACTGAATCCATTATTATACAATGGTACTGTAATTAAATTTCAACCATGCGTCAAGAATCTTGGCCTACTCATTGACTGTACTCTCAGTTGGGAGAATCAAGTTGAAGAAGTATGCCGTAAAGTAATAAATACACTTAGGGCTCTGTACAGGCTAAAATTCTTTCTCCCTTCCAGTACAAAGGTTTCGCTGGTACAGGCTCTCGTTCTTCCTATCCTTGACTATGCTGACGTCTGCTATTCTGACACCAATCAAAACCTTCTTTCTAAGCTGGATCGTTTGCTCAACAGCGGTATCCGCTTTATTTTCGGTTTACGTAAGTACGACCACATCTCCCACTATAAAAATAAACTCAATTGGCTGTCCATACGTGACCGTAGAAATCTCAGAATTTTATGCATGCTTTTCAGTGTTCTATACGATCCACGTGCCCCAGAATACTTGAAATCTAGGTTTCAGTTTCTGGGTCCCTCCAGACCACGTGATCTTCGCTCTTGCAGGCACCTTACCCTTAAAACTATTTTTCACCATTCAGGGTTCGTTTCCAAATCTTTCGCCATCACAGCTATACGTCTTTGGAATGCTTTGCCACTGAATATTCGCAGTGCACGTAATAAGCTACAATTCAAAAAACTAGTGCGTGCTCACTATCTGTCAAACTAATTTTCCTCTTAATCTGTAGTCATCTATATATCATCATATTTATTTTTACTAATTTTAGTGTATGTATGTTTATTTATGTATTTATTTATAAATTATATATATATTTATATGAATATATATGTGTATCAGTATATGTGTAGGTATAATATGTATTTTATATTTATTGTTGTTATAGAATAGTTAGGTATAGTAGATAGTTTTCATGATCCACACTAAGTAGCTCATATTCTATCGCCATTACATTTCATCTCCTACACCTTTACTGGTTGACTGGTAGAGAATGCCTATGGCATTAAGTCCGCCATTTACTGTTTTTATGGTAATAAAGAATAAATAAATAAATAAATAAAATAAAACAAAGAAAATGTCTTAGAAGATCAGTACACAAATAATAGTAATATTATGCTTCCATCTCTTTTAATTTTTTTTTTTTTTTGGATTAATAAATATGTAGACAATAGGGGTGATGACGGGGTCCAGTAAACGAAATTCTATTTAGTCCGTCAGTTAGATGATCAAAAAATAATGGACACGTATTTTTCTTTGGGTAATCAACCAAAAAATGACAAAGTTATAGCGCGTCAAAGTTTGGGAGTAGGGGCTCGTGACGTCACTCTTGAGTGAATTTTCACTTATAAGTGTACTCACACGTGACGTCATGCGACTTTTCAAATCAATATATCTCTGCAATGTTTATATTATGTGAAAAAAGAAAAAATACGTGTCCAATACTTTTTGATAATCTACCTGATAAACGAAGAAAAAAAAATTAGTCATCATCCCTATTATGCACATTTCACGATTGTATATTGGAAAGATTTTTTTTTATTCGTTTTTAAAGATACCAACGTTTCGTATGTAACCTGCAAACAGGCGTACAGTAAGCGTATAATGATATGAAGTTTCGCTTGGACATTAGCACTAACTGAACACACATTTGTAGGCGGCGCTAACGGCGGGCAAAGAACTTCTCACGTTACTAAACAGCTCGGAGACGGAAGGTGACGCCGACTACAACGGGTACACGGAGCTCGACGCGCTCTCCGACTCGCAGCAGGCCGACGATACGCACAGTACCAGAGATGCAGGTAATAATAATAATAATAACTTGGCCCACGAGGTAACCGCTTTGTGGGATGTGGATTCGACGATCATTGTCCCTATAGTCGTTAGCGTAAACGGTCTCATAGCGAAGAGTCTCGACCAACATCTAAAGAGCCTCTCGCTAGATGGTTGGGTCAAGGGCCAGATGCAAAAGGCAGTACTCCTGGACACGGCGCGCATCGTCAGGCGGTTTCTTTCTCTGCGGCCCTAACCACCGGTAGCTTGGGCCTCGCTCCGCTGCTGGTGGCCTTCTAGGTTAGGTTTTTTATACTATATTTATTTTTGTATTTACATTTTTGTATTTTACTTTTATATCTATTTTATAAAAAACCTAACTTGTGAAATGAAATAAATGAGAGTATAATAATAAAAAAATGGGTGCGTGTACTTATGTAGGCGCGTGAGAAGTTATCCTTCTTTGGCATCGTTTAAAATTAGTTTTTAATTGCATGCAAATAATTAATAAGTACTTGACGGTTGACGTCACGGACGTTCTATTGATAAGTACTGTGTTAGTTTCTTTTAAAAAAATAAAATATACTCGGTTAACGTACCAATTTCTAGTAGTTATAATTTAGTTCTAGAGGTGTTAAATTAGTTGTGGAAGTATTTGTGTTGCGAATGTTTTGTGCTGTGAGAAGTTATAAGTGACTCAAATCAGCTGTTGGATATTTTTGTTTTTTATTGGGTAGGGTACATAAATATTAAGTACGAAATCTGAAAACAATTTAAAAGCATAAACATTTTTATTATATAATACAGAATATAATTTCGTAATAAATTAAAATCAATAATTGTTAAATAATCAACGAAAACTATAAAACAAACTTTTTATTTTTGTGTGCTCGGCGACATCTATTAACGGTCTTCCAAACTATATAGACTGCAGGACGCCATCTAGTGGGAAGCGGTATAATAACTTATAGTACGAACATAACGACTGGAAGCATGCCTAACTACTGTGGTGCATGCGGTCGATTCTTGTCAGCAACAGGTGGCGCTGCCTGTTCATCGTGCCCATTAAAATTCCACAAGGCTTGCCTTGCGTTACCGGATAAAGCGGACATAAGTAGGGACTGGGTGTGTCCCAACTGTAAGAAAAATGTCCGGAAGGGTGACAACAGCCAAACGCCGGTAAAGGGTATATGTGAGGTGTCACCTACTTCCGAAGCATCGAAAGCAAAGGGATCCGACGGGGCGGCTGAGTGTGAAGGGGAACGTCGTGATAGGGAGCTAGCGGTGTTCATGGCGGAGATGCGGGAGTTCCGCAAAGAGATGAACACCCTTCGGGATTCCCTATCAGCGAGGCTCGACATTTTCGACCAGAGACTGAGCGCGGTGGAGCAGCGGCAGGCGGAGGTCGGCAAAAGCGATACTGCAGAGCTGGAGCGCACTATCGCAGAGCAGGGGCAGAGGCTGGGCGCATTGGAGCAGTGCCGGGCGGAGGGTGTCGCGGGGGACACTGCAGAGCTGGAGCGCACCATCGCGGACCTCAGGCAGGAGCTCAACGAGCGCGACCAGGAGGCCCTCCTGGCCGACCTCGAGATAGGTGAGCTTCCGGAGGAGAGAGGTGTGAGCGTGATCCAGTCGGTGACCGTCCTCGCCGCGCGACTAGGCGTCGCGCTGGAGCCGAGGGACGTTGTGTTCGCGGAGCGCGTGGGCACGCCGCCGGCGGAGGCGGGCGGGCGGCCGCGCCGCGTGGTGGTGCGTCTGGCGCGCCGGGACCTGCGCGATGAGCTGCTGACGGCCGCACGTGTGCGACGCAGTGTCGTAACACTCGCGCCCGAGCCCGTGCCCGCGCCTGCACCCGTCGACGAGGAGGGGAAGGTGGCCCCCGCGCCCGCTCCGGTTGGACGCCGCATCTACATCAACGAGCGTCTCACGCGTCACAATCGACAGCTCTTTCACCTCGTCCGTGGGCTGTGCAAGAAGCACCAATGGAGATACTCGTGGACGAGGCGAGGTCGCGTGTACGTCCGTCAAGCAGAGGGCACATCGGCGTATCTAATCAGGTCCCAAACCGACGTTGACCGTGTGTTCGGCCCCCCTGACAAGTGACTCGTAGTAAGGAGTGCATTCTTCTTTAAATGTGTTTTGTTTTCGTTTCTATTATCTGAAAATTTTAATTTTTGTTACCACAAAAAACTAGTTTTTCAGTCACGAGTAGGGTTAAAAAGGAAAATAATTTGTTTGTTATTAAACTCATTAACTTTATTTTTAAAACATACAGATAATATTTCATTGCTAACTAAAAGTATTTATAATGTAAACCTATTAAATTTTAGAACTATGAAAGAAAACGAGGCTTATCTTAAGTGGGGATTATACCATAGATACAAATCTTATATAGGGAACAATGGTATTTATAAGTTAATTCAAAAAACAATAGTATTAAACTGGCAGCCTGTATATGTAACAATAAATGTCTATTTGTTTTCACGCACTGCTTGATTCGCAGCTCAGCAACATTTCCACGAGAAAAATATCAAATATTTCTAAGCTCTCTATGGCGGCATTTGATAATCATTGTGCAGAGCTAAAATCTGGGAACCTCATGGTTGGACTATTCAATGCGGGATCCCTCGGCACGGGACATGATGAGTTGACTGTGGTCATGGAAGAGTTAGACCTGGACATTTTAGCCATCAATGAAACCTGGTTGAGGGCTGGGGAGGACGATAGGGCGCCGAGGCTCATGGGGTACCGTCTGAGACATACCCCTAGGCCGAATAGTGTGCGCGGTGGTCGTGGCGGCGGGGTTGGATTCTACATCCGTAGGGGTATTAATGCACGTCTCTGTCAGCATCCAGCGGACTCTGTGGTTGAACAGATGTGGTTGAAGGTGCGCATTAATAATCAAAGAGTTCTGATTGGAACTGCCTACAGACCGCCCTGGCAGGATGTGGAGATATTTTTGGATGCCCTAGCAGACTCTATCTCCTCTTTCTCTAGTAGAGATGCGTTAATATTGCTTGGAGACTTCAACATTAACCTCTTGGACTCAGCGAGTGCTAAGTCAAAATTACTAACGCAATTCTTGCACAGTGTTGACTTAAAACAATCAGTTACAGAACCTACACACTTTACAGAGCACAGTTCTACCCTTATTGATCTGGTCTGTAGCGATACTAGAGTATTTAAAGTCATTACTAAGCACATTCCTGACCTTGGGGCGCATGCAATTATTTCAGCAGAATTTAAAATAAAAAAAGTACAGCCATCTCCCCAATGGGTAATTTACAGACCTTTAAGTAATATACTTGTCGACCAATTGAATAAAGACTTAGACAACATAAATTGGAATTCATTTTATGAAATGGATAATGTAAACGGTCAAGTTGAGAGCTTCACACAATGTTTAACAGTATTATTTGATTTGCATGTCCCAATAAAGAAAAAAAAATTTAAACATCCACCACATCCCTGGATTACTGATTGTGTTAAGTCAATGATGCGAGTAAGGGACACTTATCATGAACGATTTAAAATTAAGAGGACGGAGGCTCATAGAGTATGTTATATGAATATGAAACAACTTGTGGTGGAGGCAATCAATATGGAGAAAAAATGCTACTTTGCGGAACATATAAATAAATACAGTAAAAATTCAAAAAAATTATGGAGCAATCTTAAAACCTGTGTAATTGCTGATAGCAGGAAAAAATCAGATATACCGGCACACTTTAATGACCCCAACTTAATTAATGCGCACTTTCTCAACATCCCCAGAAATGGTCAGGTAACAATATCACAACTAACATATTTTGAATATCACAGACATGGACCCGCAGTTTTCTCCTTGCAGACTGTCACTGAGGATACTGTTTTTAAAATTATTAGAGACTTCAAGTCAAATGCGCAGGGTCATGATGGTCTGTCACTTAATATGGTACAATTGACCTTGCCACAGACTTTGAAGGCCATCACGACCATTATAAACAGATCCATATCGGAGAGTGTCTTCCCTGACAGCTGGAAGGTTGCTGTGGTTAAGCCCTTACCCAAAATCGACAGCCCAGCCACCATGAACGACTTAAGACCTATTAGTCTACTTCCCTTTCTCTCTAAGATTCTGGAAAAAGTAGTTTGTGAACAACTTACAAACTACCTTGAGGCTAACAACATATTACCAGAGCGACAGTCTGGGTTCCGCCGTAATCACAGCACAGCAAGTGCTCTTGCCGATGTTGTGGATAATCTCCTGGCAGCTCAGGACCAAGGTAGCCTCAGCGTGCTGTTATTGCTTGATTTTTCGCGAGCATTCGATTCCATAAATATAAATCTTTTACTATCCAAGCTGGCTTTTTATGGAGTCAATGCCCACTCAGTAAAATGGTTCCATAGTTACCTCGAAAATAGATGGCAGTGTGTCGAGCTGACTAAGACAGATGGTACAAAGCAGTTTTCTGATAACCTGATGGTTACACGTGGCGTGCCTCAAGGCTCAATCCTGGGACCAACCCTATATTCTCTAGTCAGCGCTGATATCACAAACAACATACGTCACTGTCAATATCATTTGTATGCAGATGACCTGCAACTCTATCTGCCCTTTAAACACCTTGACTACAACAATGCTATGACAAAGGTAAATGAGGATTTAAAACGTATTTCCGATTGGTGCAGGTCTAACTCTCTGATTCTTAACCCAAAGAAGTCAAAACTTTTACTAATTGGCTCCAAAAAAAAAGTTCACTATTTTAAGGATATTCAATTAAATGTGCATATAGACGGGGAGAGAATAGAGCGTGTCAGTAAAGCCAAAAATTTGGGGCTTATTATAGATGAGCACCTTAACTTTGAAGCTCATATTGCTGAATGCTCCCGCATCTGTTTCTATAGGTTAAAGTTGCTGTACAAAATTAGGCCATATCTTTGTCAAGAGCTGAGAATCAAGTTGTGTGAAATGCTCGTTTTGTCTAAGATGAACTACTGCGATACAGTTTTTGGACCCTGCCTCATGTCCAGAACAAGTAAGCTTATT